ACAGTCATGGTGGTGGCGGCGGGTCTGAAGAAAGAAAATTGGGTAGAATGGAATTTTGGGAAATTACAATTTAACCCCAGATTTAGGGTTTCTGTAATTTCAAATTTGGTCCCCTAGTTTAAGTTTGAGATATTTAGCATTATTTCAATTTGGCCCATATTTTGGTTATTCCTGATTTTGAGCCGGGGTCGATTTTAAATAATGTAAAATCTGTATTACAGCCCTCAAAGCTTTCGAAAAGTGCATTTCAGTCCCCAGCTTTAAAGTTTCTCTCAAAACTGTGATAAACATTCAGAAAATATATTTTTTAACCCCCAAATTAAGTATTTCTGAATCTTAGATCCCTTTTCACTCAAAGGCTTTCTTTCAAAATTTCAATTCAGTCCTTTAAGTTGAAAGATTTTCTGGTTTTGGGCAAGGGCAATTTTTTAAGGAATAAAAAGTTAATTTAAGGTTTTTTGGGGCCACTTGAAATTTATGTTTTATGAAGAATCAAACGAATAAGTGAATTATTTTTAATTCTCTTTAAGAACTTGTTTGGTCAATAAAGTGAGATTCAGTTTGAATTTCAATTTTAGTTTCCTGAGGCATTTTATTTTGGGGAATTTCAGATTTCTAAAGTTCGGGTCTTCTTGGATTGAAATTTGGATTAATTAGTCAAATTATGGATATGAATTATTATAATTCAATAGGTTTTGACTCATTAAAGTAATGGTTGTTTGTCAATATATGTATGGGTTATCATGTATAACTCAATAAGCTTTGACCCAATCGATATTGGCACGTAGACTCGTGACTTTATTGTAACTTTGAGTCTTTATTGTTTTGTGAAAATTCATAAGAATATGGATTTATTTGTCCGAAATTTGTTGTTGGCTTTAAATCTAATAAGGTTGAATTTGTGAGCTCATTTTATTTTAATCTCAAATTCAAACAAATATGAATTTTACGATTTATGATTTAGGTTCATCTTTGGGTTATAAAGTGAAGATTTCTAGTTGACTTTATTTTGACTTTAAATCTAAATAACGTGGGATTTGGGTTCATAAGGTAATTTAATTAGGCCTCTGACTAAATTTGTTTTTTTTTGAGAAAGTCTAAAGGCTTAAATTCAGTTAAAATTCAAATATTGGTTTGGTTTATGTATTTTGATTTGAATTAAGAGAAGCAGCATCTCGCCTAAGTGAGCTCTCCTGTGAAACTTAATTTATTTTAAAATACAAAAGGTTTTGTGCATGTAATAATGTGGGTATTGTGTCGGCCTTAAGGAAGGCCAATACTTTGCTGAATTGCATGTGCATATTGTGGTGGTAAACACGTGGCGATTATTTGGTGTTTTGCATGTGAATAATAGTTTGGCCCTAAGGTAGAATTATTATTTGATGTGCTCTTATTGTCAGTGTTTGATTACTACACCAAGATATCACTTACAAGTTAATATCATTGTCCAAAGATAAGTTATTAATGGAGTGCCCGATATCTTGAGATGGAATATACCTTTATTTGAATTTGTGGTTGATATATAATAAATATGTGACGGTTATTAGAATTTCATGTGAACTGTAAATTGGCCCTAAGGTAGATTTATTGTTTGACACGATAGTTTACCGTCAATATTTATTTATAAAAAGTTCCCGCTTAAAAGTTAACGAGTCGTCCATAACGTCAAGTTAACATTGGGCTAGGTATTTTATGATAAATGAACCCAATTCCGTTTAATTATGTCATACATACATAGATTCAATTTGATATTTTTATGACATAATAGTAGTTGTGAGCATGTCTTCTTGAATATGTTCTCTATTTAGTTCATGCTTCCGCTTCTGTATTATCTGTCAAAGTTAATTTTGGTTCTTGTGCGTTATAGCACAATTTACTTATTATTTAGGGTGCACAGATCTTGATTTTACCTTTTAAATAGAACGAACAACTAGTTTTTTCGGAATTAAAGTTTCCTTAAGGTTAAGATAAAAGGGACTTAAAGAATATGATCGTTCTAATTATAAGTATTAAGATCATTTGGTGCACTATTTAAGAAATCTTTAGCGGCATCAAGATTGATAGGGCAAGCACTAGAATATTTCTTAAGGCACTTTTTTGATACGTTTTATTATTAAAATGAGAAGTTTGAATCAAGTATAGTTTTGACTAATCTTGTTTCATTATTAATAAAAGAAAAGAAATATAAAGGAGTACATTCAGTATTAGTCTAATCTCACTTTCGGCTTAAGCACTAAAGTTACGATTTATTAACTTTAAAGTGCATATGGTTTGATTTTTCTTTCTATATCTATAGTCAACATAAGGTTTGTTTCAAAACCTAAAGGATAACTGAATTCTTTGTCAGCTCATGTTTGACTATGTGTAGGAATAAAATGACATAGACGAGAAAAGACTAAAAGTACGCAGTTAACTACTATCCCATAGAATGACACATTGTTGCAGTAGAGACATCATAATAGATTTTCCAAAAGTAACAGAATCATGTCCGCTTTATCTGTTATTTAAAGATATGAGTCTCCAAAGTATGTCAAATGACAAGTAAGGTTTTGCTTCTAATCTTAAGAGAAGCACTAAAGACTGCAACATATGGTTTTAAAGACGGGATGTATAAGATCTCTTAAGGATATTGAGTTTAAGGGGGGAAAAGGGTTATACTCATTGTTTATGAAAGAGAGAATTTATTTTTCTCATTTTGTTGCTATAGACAATAATAAAAATAATTTCTTGTCCCACATAAAGGAAATTGCTCCTTAAAGATAAACTCAACAACCTTAAGAGAATACAGTATTAAATTGAGTTAAACTTAAGATGGTAATGACATTTAAGATCTTATCAATTGTCAAAAGTGTGAAATCATTTGGTCACAAATGTATGTTTGAGACCGTTTGATTTTAATAGACAATGTTGAAAAAAGTTATAAACAAAGTCTAATCACCTAGAGTTTCACTCAATACGGACTCTATTTTAGAGTTTTAGGATTCCCTAAAAGGTGTTACAACTCATAATGATTATCTCATATTTGTGAGGTAAATAAAGTTAATGTTTGTATATACCATGTGATATGTGGGAGATAATGATGCACATCTCACTCAATGCCCAATAAAGATCTTACGGTAAAGAAGAATGCAAAAGGTTCCCTATGGCGTCAGCTTTGGGAAATTATATGCATACTTCGGTATGTACGCATTCGGCTAAATCGTACATAAAGTTTGACAGATATTTAATAACTCTTTAAAGTGGATCTTTGAAAAGGAACAAAAGGGTTATACAGTAATTATAGAGAATATAAGGTCATTTATGCTCATTTATCGAAATCAGTTCATTTGGGAGATCATTTGATTTTTTTATTTCGAGTTTGTATGATGCTTGTAAATTATAGATCCATTTAATGTATACCTATTTAAAAGAGAATTTAAGTAAGAGTGTTTAGCCAACACCAAAACTCTTTTAACTACGGTAACCAGTTTATAAAAGCATCTTATTTTGTAATATACAGAGTGGATAGGTGTCTATAAAATACGTCGATATAAACTCCATTATGTGTACACACTAAGGATGTCACCCAAAAGGTCTCATGAGCATATTGCTCGTATGGGTGTCATATTATTTAAGGATATTCGGTTTTAGTGGGAGTTTATAATAAATGTGTTATTTTGGCGTAGACACAATTTTTTGGGTTAATTCGGATTAAGGATACTCTTAGGATAATTTCTGCAGAAATAAGGTTTTGGTTTATTCACACTCTGATTTGTTAAGGTTTGATCTCGTTAAGGAGGACCAATTGGAAATAGGTATGTTAAGGTCACATTGCATGACATTTCCATGCTACACATCCACATCATAATCTATGTCATTCAATTCTGTTGATATTGTGACCATTGTTGGGTCCCGTTACGACTAATGTGAACGAAGGCCCCTTTGATTCAGTGTTAGCATGATTGATGGACGAGATTGGTTATAGACACACTTCAGTAATGACAGCAAAGTTGAGCTCAAAATTTATTTATGCAACCTATAATTATAAAGTTACACATATAGTCCAAGTGGGAGATTGTTGGATCATTAATCCAACGTTGGACTTATATGTGAAATATTATGTGTTGCAAGACTGTCACGTAAGATTAAGCCCGTTAAAGTGATCGACTAAAGTTTTTCTAGATTGGGCTTTAATGTGTCTAATAGGGTGTGGGCCTTTAATGTGTAGAGACATTAGGGTAATTTTATTATAGTGATGGGCTAAAATAAAATTACACAAGATAGCCCATTAGGTTATCTATATATATTGGTCATGGTCCCCGGGTCACATGTACGAATTCCATTCTCTATGTACCATCGACATACAGAAAACGAAGAGAAGTCTAAAGGGTTCTCGGGTTTCGGATGTACATGATGATCTGGAAGATCGATGATCGTTTTATATCAATTCCACCGGAGTAAGGTACGCTTCCAATTTATGTTTATGCACAATATTCTTGATGATTCGGCATGACGGTTCCATGGAATTTATTCAAGTTTATTCCAACACACTGAACTCCCTCATTCTAGAAATCTTTAAGTGGTTCCCAATAATCGAGTAGAGGTTTCTATGATATAGTTGTACACCATTAATGTTGGGATGTGAAGCCCAGGATTCAATGAAAATTCGCAAGAGGTTCTAGATTTGCCGGTTTTAATTTTATTAACATGCTTTGATTAGATTCGTTTAAAGCGAAATAAATCTAATCTAGCAACTTACAGTTTTCACGAGCAGATCCGTTTCTAACTGTTAAACAAAGTTCCTAGTCAACGGGTTACACCATCAATGAGGATACCGACCTTTTCCATTAGAGACTACAAAGTTTGTGGACAAACTGCATTAATTCGGATCATATTGTTTCTGATTAGTATTTTCCAATCAGTTTCCAATTTTCTTGAATCTTTTTACTTTTGTGTTTCAAGTATTTGGAAATTGTGTTTTGTATAAGAATTATGTTGATCAAATCTTAGCATATATATTCTGTACGAGGTATGAAAGTGTTCTTTCATAGGATTTGCATATAGTAATTCTTTTTTAGATCTTTACAAGTAATTCTTGGTACAGGAAAGTAATTTACATACATATATACACATAGTATGTTCATCTTAAGTTTCGATTGATTTCAAGCCGTAGGATAAGAAGCTTGCATGGCAATGCCACATAGACCTTCAGCAGCATCGATGTCCCTTTGCATACGAATGTATCCGTTTTCACCCCAACTACTTCCCCACGAGTTCTTAACCAACCAATACTTTGTTCCATCACTAGTTACTCCATACCCAACCGCGGTCACACCATGGTCAAGTTCAGTTCCGCACTGTCCACTAAAAACTCCACCCGAGTAAAACTGAAAATCGGATCCACTAGCATCGATTGCAACAGATATTGGTTGGTTAGCCACAGCTTTGAGCAATGCTGACTCGCTATTGGCTGGAACATCCTCGTACCCTGTGATTTTTGCCACGTGTGAGGATTCCTTCTTTGAGTTGCATGTGCCGTCTACTCCTTCGTACGGGTAGTTGGACTCGGTAGTGAGTCCGTTATTACTGATAATGAACTCAAATGCATTGTCCATTAGACCGTCGTTACATCCTTGATCTTCACTTGTGTCACAATCCACTAGTTCTTGTTCGGATAACGAGATTAGATTCCCCGTTTTGATTTGGTTTAGTCCTTCTGTGGCTGCTACAGCTGAAAATGCCCAACAACATCCTGTATTTTTCGTTTATGAAAATTAGGTTCTTGAAATTAAACAATTTATCAAGAAATAATTTTTAATTTGACTTACCACATTGGCCTTGGTCCTTAACTGGAGTAACAGCTCCCTTCTTAGTCCAGTCAATGCTCGGTGGAACTGCACTCACATTTCCATACCGAAACGATGAAACTTCAAATGATGACTTAATTGATTGAGATCCCTTTTTGAATCCATTTCGAGATGCTTGAAATTCTTCGTTTGTTAAATCAGCAAATTTGTTGATGGCAAGTTTGTAAGTCCAATTTTGAGCTTCATCAACGGATTGGATATACTCAACATTTTGCTTGAATATTTTATAACGAAAGGCTTTTTCTGCATCATCTTTGTAAGTACGGCCACATTGCACCATCCATTGCTCGTGTTTTTCGATCATTGATTTGTTAGGCAACGTGCGGGCTGTGGATTGAGAAGCATACATTTCCAATACTAACAGTGCAGCTAAAATAAACATCCAATTAGGCGACAAGGCCATTTTCAGATAGATGGATATATATGGTATTAAATGTATTGGATTTATGTTGATGAGAAAATATTGATGTGAATCCTGCTGTTGTAACACAGAGGTATTTATATATAGAAAAATAATTCAGTTCAATTCTTCTCCAGAACTCCCTGGAAAACCCGGCAAGTTAACAAAAATCATAAAGTTCCGTAGAGGCTGCTCCATTTTGAATCAATTTCATATTTTATTATTTATTTTTTGTACTTTTTCTCATGAAGTCCTAAAGTGTTTCGGATCATTAGAAATTAAATTATACATATTAAAATTATTTTAAAAAAAAATCTTGATTAGCTGTCATTTTCTTGAATGTTTCTTTGGACTTGTCTAGGCAGAAGGATTATTGGGTCCTTGTACAACGTTGTTTAACTAATGAAGCAAGTTGTTTAAACCCAGGAATTGTAAGCAATATATTGAATGAATACACCTATATACTAATGTTGAACAATGTACAACAACCTAAGCGTAATGTACAATTGGGTGAATAATTGACCGACGACGACCATGTCTCAGCACATCAAGGATTGAGCTCGAGGCAGATTATGTACAGAATCTTCAGGTCCGATTAAAACATGGATTATACAATCGTATGAAATTAGAGTTTTTCAGTGATATATCATAAACATATAAGTGAACGTTATTAGGCTAATTATAATATTTAGAAATAACTAAATAAAATTAAAAATAAGTATTGATAACCAATATATAAGAAATATGTCTAGAAGTAAGATGAAATAGTTGTGAATGACTAAGATTGATTCTAAAAGATCAAGGTTAAATAAATTCTTAAATTTATTTACTATCGTTATTTATGAATTTTATTAGTATAAGTGATAATATGATTTAACCATAGTCAATTATGTCAAAAAAACATAAAACATAATTATAAGTTAATATATAAAGATAATGTTTTTTTCTTGGTTATAGTAATTTTTTTTATACAATTTCAACAATGTTTTTTCTTTAGAGTTACATTTCAAGAGTTTTCAATGATCTCAATATTAAAAGCATATATATGTAAAAATTATTTAAAATAAATCATCTTGTTTTAAGTTAAGCATTAGATACCTAAAGTAGTTTCAAATTTTAAATTAATTCTTATATAACTCTTACAAGAAAAATTATTTCATATAAAATTGATAGTAGAGTTTTTTAGTGACATATCATAAATGCAAGTGAATGTTCGTGTAAAAAAATTTAGTTGAACATTAGAAACTTAATGTACTTTTGATTTTCAAATTGCTGAACTTTTCATCGTAGATGTCAAGTTAATTGAGGAATATTTAAAAATAATAAAAATAAATACTCATATATAAGAAATATGTATAGAAATAAGAAAAAAATGTTGTGAATGACTAAATAAATTCTTAAATTTTATTTAGTCATTCACAACTATTTTATTTAGTGAATGACTAAGATTGATTATAAATATTGAGATTAAATAAATTCTTAAATTTTATTCATTGTTATTTATGCATTTTATTAGTATATGTGACAACATGATTAATCTATAGTCAATTATGTAAAGAAAAGAAATATAAAAATATACTAAGTAATTAAATGATAACGTATATTACTTATTTTTAGTAATATAATTTAAATGTCAAGGACTTGTTAGTATACTAGAAAATATGTTAAAAATTGTATATTTTTTTATTATCGTAATTACTTTTATATAGGGATGTGCATGGATCGGTTTTAACCACCAACCAACCCATTTTCGACCCACGATTTGTGATGTTAATCAACCATCAACCGACCCATTTAAGTTGGGTCGATAATGTCAACCAACCCATGTATAGTTTGGTCGATAATAGTTTCTAATATGCTAAAAAGTTGGTTAGTCGGTTAATATCGGCCAACCAATTTTATTCATTAATTTATTATTTATTAATTTTAATTAAAATATTTAATACTTTTAATTTCAAATTTCTATTTTATATCACATCTATTAAATTGTCTAATATTGACTAAAATCCTAAAAGCAATAAATCTAACCTAATTATCTAATTTGAACTATTTTAATTTTAAGACGTATAGTCTAAATATTTGGAAGATTATTATTTGTTAAACTATTTATGTTTAATTGCAATATATATGACCGTAATGTTTTGAATCTTTTATTTGAATATTGTTGAACTAGTCGCATTTAATTTATAAAAGATATAGTGTTGTAACAAGTAATAAAATATTAAAAAAATTTAAAAAAAATTTAAAAAAATTTAGATGGATGACCCAATCAACCAAACCACCAACCAACCCATTAAATTGGTTTTCAACCATCACCCAACCCATATAAATTGGATCGATAACGGTTTCCAATATTTAACAAAGTTGGTTGGATGGGTTGAGTTGGTTTTATGACTGGTTTTTAACCAAACCAACAAACGCACAACCCTACTTTTATACATTAAATATCAACATTGCCCATAAAATGGAGTCACAAGAGAATAAAATGATAGTATACATAGAAGGAGACAATAAAAAATTAAAAAAATTAAAAAAATTAAAAAAATAAAAGAAAACCACTAAAAAAAGGAAAAATAAAAACTGAAATTGTGCGATATGTGGAGATATTAAGGGGATTTGCATGTTTAAAAAAAAATTAATTGATTTTCCATAATGGGATTGAACATGATATATTTTGTTAAATTTGTGGTAACTTTGAGTAATATTAAATAGAGGTATTTTGGATAATTTGAGTCAATTGGGCCTATAACAAATATCAAGTAATAAAAATGGATTTATCATTAAATAAAAAGCCAATAAGAGGTGTTTATTGTATAGCCCCTAATATAAATTTGTTGTTCTTTGTTTTCTACGATTCTTGAAATTATAATTATTGAAAATTTGAGATAACCACACATTAACATTAAATCACGAATATTGCGTTAGATGACCAAAATACTAGCATATAACTTCCCGTAAAACATTTCACTTAAACAAATGATATTTAGCTAAAAATTTTTTTTGTTAATTTCGGGATGATTGGAACAATAGATACTTCAAATTATAGTTTTCTACTTTTCATGGGCATCAACAAGCAACTCGTGGCTGTGGTCTTTCCACATTCCGAAGGAAGATGACTTAAATTCACATATAAACCTATCTTCATGTATTTTTCGTAAAAATACCCCTCATGATATAATTTAAATCACTTTCATCAATTAAACTTTAATTCTACAAATATTGCACATTGACCACAAATTTAACAAAATATATCATATTCAATCCCATTTTCACAAAAAAAATAAAAATTCTTTTACTGGTCAGTCGCCGGCATTGACCCCCGGTCTTCGGTGTTGACTTTTTTTTTCGGCCCGTTGATTTTGTTTAAGACATTTTTTTTAAATATTTTCAGTAATCATATTTTTATTTAAAAAAACTCAAAAAGAAAGAAAATTTGACATTAAACTTCTACCCGTAATTGTTTTTTTTTTTTTTTGGTTCGAATTGCTATTAATTATTTGAATTGATAAATTATGATGGCATATTTCATTACTAGGGAGAATGTGCATATTTTTATTCAAAAAATTGGGTTTTTTAAGTGAACTATGTTGACGGAAATATCCATCAACCGATCTATTTGGAAACCACCAACTGTTAACCGACCCACAAGGTATGCAATGATTTCCATTTTTTGCAAAATCGATTTATCGGAGGAGCCGGTAATTAGGCCGATAATGAAATTAACCGAATAGACCAGTCCCAACCCTAACTACAATTACAAGGACAACGTATACAATATTATATTAAACGACTTCTATACAACATATAATAATTATTTTTCTTCAGAATCTTATTATTGTACTGCAGAAATTATAAAAGCAACTGCAATGGAGTTATTAAATGAGTCATCAAATTTCTTAACTACTATTTAACTTCTTAAATTTTGAAACTATGTTCTCCAATGGTGTTATCAAAATGGGTTAGTATTTTGATATTTTATCTCTTTGTATCTAAAAATACTTCCTGCAGAATGAGTTATCAAAAAATTAACCACCTAATCAATCATTCACAAATCGACATGTGGCAATTAAAAAGAAATCACCAAAAACCTTCAGATTGATAATAAAATTTGATAACTATATATTATTGGAGTTGGTGAGTTTTAAAAGAGTATTTCATAATTCAATTTTGATGTTTAGCATTGGAGTTGCTCTAAATATGTATTCTGAAAAAATAATGTTATATATTATATAATCAATAATGTGCTCCGAACTCACTAGGAAAAGAAAATCATTCTCTTATATTAAACTTGATTCAAAATCATTCTTGCAACAAATAGAAATAAATCTCATAAATGGATAATAGACAACCACTACAAATCAAACCAAAAATCACGCCTTCCATTGTGCAATTTCAATTTGAATATTGCAAACGCAGCAAAAAAAGAATATTTACGTAATCCCTTGATTATATATGGAAATGATAGTTTTTGAACAAAGTATTATCAAAGTTTACCCTTTTTAAATTATTTTTAGATTAGATATCAATAAAACTAGCATTAATGGGCAATATAATACCTAGCAAAAATAGTCCCACGTGATTATGTTAACAATATAGCAAATTAGGAAAGTGTAAATCTATCAAGGATCGGATTTTTCATTTTTCCAATCTAGAATCTTTTTATTTCCAAATGTATTACCCCTAAATTAATAAATTTCTCTCTCTCTCATCGAAAATGGTGTTTAAATTGTGTGGTGTTTAGCATAATAAATTGTAAGGAAATAATTGGGAAATTAATATTATAGAAATGGGGGGAAAAGTGATGTTATTGTTGTTGGTAGTGATGATAGTTTGTGGAGGATGTGAATGCAAAGGAGGTAAGGTGTACAAGGTTGGAGGGTCTTCTGGTTGGACAAATATTGGTCCTCTTCCTTACAAATCTTGGCCTTCTTCTATTGCTTTTCATGTCGGTGACACTCTATGTAAGAAGACTACATCTCTCTCTCTCTCTCTCTCCACCTTATATTTTAGTCAAAAATACTACTATGTTTTATTTTATTCCTCCATTACTTCAATTACAAGGTTTTTTTTTAAATGTTTTTATAATGTGTATAGTAATCACTTGGTGATTTTAAATATATTTAGTTTGCTAATACTTTCAAACATTTATTTCTCATATACAGCAAGAAATACACAATGTAGTATTCTCACCCGGAGTTAGATGCTACGATTTGTTTAATTACACTGGTGGATGTCAATCATAGATTTGATTAAATAGCCACCCACTATATTAATCACCCGGATTTTTTTTTTTGTTTTTTGTTGTTGTGGTGCAGTGTTCGAGTACAAGAAAGAATTCCACAACGTGGTACGAGTGACACACACAAACTTCAACAACTGCAATTCCACGAACCCTTACCACACTTGGTCCACCGGTAACGATTCGTTCACAATCCCAAGGCACGGCCACTTTTACTTTATCTGTGGGGTACCGGGTCACTGCCAATCGGGTCAAAAGATTGACATCCGGGTCCCGATATCCGTACCCGCCCCATCTCCACAAAGCCCATCACTACCCGGCCCAACTTCAGTATCGGTTGCACCCGCTCCATCTCCAAAAAGTGGATCTTCTTCTCTCCATTTGTCTTGGAAGCTTTGGGTGTTAGTAGTAGCTGTTGGCCTTCCGCAGTTTCTATCTTAAATATATAAATATGATATTTATTTATTATTCACGGAGATTCCATCGATTTTAAATATCTGAATTTTAGCTTTTTCTCCGATTAATCCAAAGATCTCAAGAAAAAGACAAAGTATATAATTTTGGGCTAAATACACTTTGTGACCCTGAAAATATACTTTATGCAAGAATTACGCCTTAAAGTATTATTTGTAACACTTGCCCATAAATATCATCCGTATATATTGGAGGTTTAAATTGTATACATTGCCCCCCAAACTATCACCCGTTTTGCACCTTACCCCCTGAATTACAAATTCGTGCAAATTTTTAACTGAACTCAATACTCTCTATGTTCCTTGCTATATGTCGTTTTGGGTTGTTACATGTGGATTAAAATAGTCAATAAATATGCATAGATTATACCTAAAATACCCTTGTCATTAATTATTTTTAATTAACTAATTAAGAGTAGATAAGGGGCGAAATTGATAATAAAAAAAATAATTAATACCTTATTGGAACTTTAAAATGACAAATAATTTTGGGAAAAAAAAAACACCCTAGAGAGACATATAATAAGGGACATAGAGAGTAATTTGTTGCCTGATACCTTAATTTTTTAATTTCCGTTCAATTTTAGCTGGAATCCCTTGCACGTGAGTGCCATGTGAGATTCTTGAGGGTAGAAATGTTTGTATTTTTCAATCTACAACCTAATTTAGAGTGCATAAAGTGGGAAAAAATAGAAATCACACCGGGTTATTGAAAAAAAAACTATATTTTCTTACAAAATAAAATAAAATAAAATAAATTGTTGTTACTAAATTTTTCAATTGATGGATCTTTTATTGTAATTGGTTGAAATATTTGGAATAAAATATGATTTTCTGATAAAAAATACTTTGAAGTATGTTGATGAGATGATATTTTTATTATTGCACTTTATGGTTTTAAAATGATTGATGAATAAAAAAATTGATTCGACATTTGACATCCTTAAAAATATCACTAACAATATTATATTAGCTTTACAAATTCATTTGGGTTACATTGTGCATGATTTATTATGTGTCCCTGCTGTAAAGTGCTATTAATTTATTTTGATGATGCAATTGCCAAAATGGTATATTTAAAGGGTGCAAAGTGAAATTAAGCCATTTAAAAAAATTACTAATATTTACTATAATTAAATTGGTCAAACTTACATATATTTACTCAGCAACTTTGACCGAAGGCCCTTTAGTTATCTACATAATTGTGATTTTCTCACTCCAAATACTAATTTAATTGCATTATTTGAATGTCATTTTTCATATTGATTTGTTTGTTAATCTTAGAGGGTGTTTGGCTAAGCTTATTTTAAACAGCTGATAAGCTTTTACGTCTGATAAGATGTTTTTTGATCTGATAAGCTGTTACATCTTATTTTTAGGATTATTTTTTAGAGTGTTTAGATAATGAGCTTATTTAATATTTTTACACATTATAAGATCTTAAATAAAAAGGTGGGGTAGAGGTACTTATTTAAAAAGATCTTATTTGCTCTCCAACAGCTTATTTTTTTAAAAATTAAGATTTTTTTTTAAAAATTTACCAAACACTTTGGAAGAGCTTATAAGCTCCAAAACATCTTATAAGCTCGTTTTAACATCTTATAAGCTTAGCCAAACACCCTCTTACTTACTTCCTAAAAACGAGTTCAAATTAAAAATATTTATTTTTTAAAATTAAAAGTAAACGGAGAGATTAATATTTTTATTCCTCCTAAAGTTGTCATTCTCTTGAAATAAAAACGCGGTTACGATATTATCCAATCATTACACAAATATAAAAATATGAATTATTTAATCTATCCAGATATTAAAATGGAATGCATAAACTAATAATATTTTTAAGATTAAATTAAATTAAAATAAATTAAAGTGGTTTATCTCTGTGGGCACCTGTCATTTAATTTCCTTCAACTGGAAGGAAACTTGGGGATTTTTTTTATTTTTCCTTTATAATTGGGGTGTTATGCCTTTTTAATTACATCGTAACAGTTTTACCACAAACTTTTCATTTCTGCATTAATTAATTAATTAATTAATTAATTAACAATTAATTAATTAATTAATTAATACATAATGACATTGATACTATAAATACAGGCCGTTTATCCCTCACATTTAATCAATCCCACAGCATCAGATAATTTAATCAATCCATCAGAAAATGGCGTCAGCTGCAAACGGTGTCGTTTTCTTTCTGACACTCACCTCTCTCACATTGTCCAGTTATTCCGCCGGCCGGGAAACCCCAATCCAACCACCGACCAACGCCGACGAACCAGGGTGGGGCCCACTCGGAATCAACGGCAGTGGGCCACTCGACTGCCTGACGGCACTCTACAAAATCAAGTCGTGCACTAAAGAGATACTCGAATATTTCGCCACCGGCGCCATTGACATATCGCCGCCGTGCTGTGAAGCCATCTCCGTCATCACACACAAGTGCTGGCCGTCTTTCCTGGGAACGCTAGGGTTCAGCCAGGACCAGACCTACATTCTGAGGGGTTACTGTGATGCTATTGCCGCCGCCGCCTACACCACCATGTCTGGCTCCATTCCGAGCCCGGTGGTGGGTCCCAGTACGGGCCCATTGGAGCCCGTTTCGAGCCCGGTAGGGCAGCCAGCTTTATCGCCGGCGAACTAAGCCGTTTCGAGTCCGATGTGGGTCCCATGTTGACGTTGTGTCAGTTTCGCAATTTGCATGTTTTTTTTTTTTTTCATTTGCATGGTTTCTTGCGTACGTGCATGCATGCATGTAAGGTTTGGCCTTTTGATTAGTTAATTAGGTACTTGTTCTTGAATTCTCTATATCTATTTTATAAACAAATTTTATGAGATATTGCTATTTTATCTCCTTTTGTTGCTATTAAATAGTTTAATGAAAATTAATTAAATTATTTTATCGGATATCGACGTCTCGTCTAATACAAAATTCTTAACAAGAAGACATGATAATATTCCAGATAAGATATGATAATATTATATTTTTGGGCGAACAGGGAAGTTATTGAGATTTACCAAACATCAAATAAAGAACAGTTGCAAATCGTGTTTCATATTAACTGAATAAACAAAAAGAATGTTGTATAAATATATAATCGTTAATCAAACTCTAATGAACAATTGGCTAGCTAGTAAGCCTAGTCTTACTAATTAAGTGTGAATTTAATGTATTGCGAATTGGCAAATACCGTCTTATGAAAAAAAACTCACCCATGCCTCTATGTGTAAACAAAGTCAAAGCATCCAGTCCCCTCCAAACAAATTGTGTTTCTCACGCGCTGTTTGTGCGATTTTTGCTCCAATTTCACATGTGAATTTACAGAAATTCCCCCAAGCTCTCTCTCTCTCTCTCTCTCTCTCTCTCTCTCTCTCTCTCTCTCTCTCTCTCTCTCTCTCTCTCTCTCTCTCTCTCTCTCTCTCTCTTCATCCGTCTTTATCTTCCTCAAATTAAAAAGCCACCTTTGTCGGACATGGCCATCTTCCAAGGATGACCGCCGTTGCCGCTGCCGCTGCCGCTGCCGCCGCACGAAGATGAAGAAAACTCATTTTCTAGGCCTCCATTTTCTCCGTTCGATCTCACCGCCCGCACTCCGCCGCGGCATGCCTTAATTGGAAGAAGATATGAAGATGTGGTGGTGTTGGGGTGGTGAGCAACTACGGAAGGCTCCGACTTGGGCTCAATGGTAGATGAATTAAGTTGTGAGTTGAATGGGGCGGAGTTGGGGTTGGAGGAAGGCGGCGGTGGTCGGGCATGAAAGAAGAAGATGAAGCCTTTTTATTTTATTTTTTATAATTATTATTATATTTAACACATGTTTTTTTTTTAATTATTAACATATATGTTTATTGTATTTAATAAATACTAGTAATTGTACCCGTGCGATGCACGGGACAACAAATTGCATTGTTTTGATGTTGTAAGAATATAAACAAACGTTTGATGTATCGTATGATCAAAATTCTATTATACTGGAACATCATTAAGTATACTACACACAAAATAAAAAGAAATAACTTTACTATTGAATAATTTTCCAAATGAATTGAATCAGCTAATACCAGTAGATTGAAAATTTGAACCAGGAAAAAAATCATCAACTATGTCTTTCATGTTGAGCTTAAAAGTAATTAGATTTAATAACTTAGTTAACATAATCAAAACTAAACTATCGACAACATAAAAGGCCATCTATACATCTTGCATCGGAACTAAGCCCTTCTCCACTGCCTCATTTTCAGGCTGTTTTGCCACTGGAATTAACAATTGGAAAATTAAGAAACAAAAATAAATATAAACAATAAATTAAATATCGCATACAAACAATAAGTCTTGAAGGTCGACTTGCAATAGCTTGTGGCTCCGCCCATTTTTGGTTAAATCTCTCAAATCATCCATTTCAATAACATGTCCAATAACATATAAAATGAAATAGTTGTTATACATAAATTTTGAAAACTTTGGTATAAATTAATGAAACACATAATTTAACAAAATGAAATTACCGATAAGCCATGATGGAAAAAGATGTAAACTTATTGCCACACAGTCAATAGGATGAAGAAGATAAAAAACAAAATCTAAAGTCGGGTTACCAAAAGAAGAAGCCTTAGGTAGGGAAGAAATAAAATTCAAATGTTGCAGACATTATGTAAAACGATGTCACAAAATTCGCTAGGGATGAAAATCAGATTTATTTACCCTTTTCTATAAAAATCAAAAATCAGATTATTATAAATAATATCTAGGAGAATTTGATGAAAATCGATAATAATATTTAAAATAATATTTAGGAGATAAAAATTTGATAAAAAAATCAAAAAATAATATTTAAAAGATAAAAATCTGATAAAAATCGAAAATAAAATTTAAAATAATAGTTAGAAGATAAAAATTTGATAAAAATCGAAAATAATATTTCAAATAATGTTCATGAGATAAAAGTTGATAAAATACGAAAATAATAATTAGAATAATATTTAGGAGATAAAATATGATTAAAATCAAAATTATTATTTAAAATAATATTTAGGAGATTAAATTTGATAAAAATCAAAAATAATGTTAAGGAGACAATAATCTGATAAAAAAAACAAAATTATTATTTAGGAGATAAAAAAACTAATAAAAACATGATAAAACTCGAAAAAAATATTTAAAATATTATTTAGGAGATATAACTTTGATAAAATTCGAAAATAATATTTAGGAGATAAAAATCTGCTAAAAGTTCAAAATTATATTTAAAATTATAGTTAGGAGATATAAAATTGATAAAATTAAAAAATATTATTTATAATAATATTTAGGAGATAAAAATTTGATAAAAATAAAAAATAATATTTAGGAGACAAAAATCTGATAAAAAAAAAAATAATATTTAGGGGATACAAATATGATAAAATTCGAAAATAATATTTAAAATAATATTAAGGAGATAAAAATTTGATAAAACTTGAAAAAAAAATACAAATATGACATTAGAGTTTCTTAGGGTTGCCCTAGCGTTTCTTTCTTTTATATATAAGATATTTGTTTAAATATTTTCTTTTTTCTTTTTTCTTCTTTTTTAATTGTTATTACATTAACATATATCATATTTTCTATTTTATTTGTTAAAATATTATTGCTTTTCTAATTGAAAAAAAAAAACCCTGGGCTTTTTTGTCTTTTTACCATTAGTCAACAAGCAAAATGCTCGTGGAAGCATGGGTGAGTTTTTTTTTTTCACAATGGGTTATTTGAAAATTCATGATTCCACATGTGTTATATTTGCAATAAGCTCATTTTAATTTAGACTAATGAGATGTCTTTGAAGCGTTTTAATTGGCTATAACTAATTAATAGAATTCATTAATTAATTATATACTGCATGTTAATTACATCAAGGAATTTTAAAGGTCTTCTTCCTATTTACAATATTTGTATAAGATGAGATTGTGCCATGAATCTCCGAAATACTTGAAGTGCAATACATTATTAGAATAATTTGAATTAATTTAGAATTTTTTTTATGATTAAAATATGATATATATATATATATATATATATATATATATATATATATATATATATATATATATATATATATATATGATATTTTAATAAAAAAAAATTAGTAATATAAACTTATTTTTTGCAATGTTTTGTGTACCTACATTTTCATCCCGGTTCCGCCCCTATCGGGTTGGTTTGACGACCGATAATGAACCAACCCTACCTACGAATAGCCCGATTTTTTTCTGATACGATTTGAATGTATTAAAATTATTTAAAATTTTAGATATTTTGAAACCTTCTTATAAATATTTTCAATATTCCACTACCCTTCTAGAAAATAATGAAAAGGGTTAATGACACTTTGCCCCCAAACTATTGTCTGTTTTGCACCTTACCCCTGAACTACAAATTTGGGCAATTTTTTACTTGAACTCGTTAAATTGTTGCACGCAACCTTAATTATGCTAATTCCATTCGTTTCTCGCCGGAATCATCAGCACGTGCGTCGCATGTGAGTTTTTTTAGGGTATACACGTTCATTAACTTCAAATATTATCCTTACCCCCTGCACTTCTACTTTTCCCTTATTTTTTGCTTATTTTTTTGGTCGGCAAAGATGCTCTGTCTCCTCCACTTCTCTCCTTTCTCCCCAGCATCCCTCCTCTCTCCCCCCTTGGCTCCCAACCAAAAAACCCAATCCATAAACATCAAAATCTCCGAAGTTTCCACCACCAAAAGGCGTAAAATCCCTCGTCCTCAGGTCCTCTATCCCTTGGCCCGACAAGTATTTGATGGAGGAATGTAAATCATGGTAATTCAACGGCCCGTTAAGGTAGTAGACCCAAACTTGGTGCCCACAAGGAACCAACCCTCATTGAAGTTGAAATTCCCACACTGCGGCTGCCAGGATTCGATCTAGGACCTTACACCAACTTACCACATCCGGAACTAGTTGAGCTACACCCATGTGGACACAACTAAACATAATTGTTTACACTGCTGGTGGGCTGATGGCTAGTGATGAGATTTTGGAAGACGCGAAGAGGAATGAGTAATGATTTTGATCATTAGTCTAAATTGCACGATTAATCATTACATTTCGGTCAAAGATTTTTTCTAAACAAAAGTTGAAGTAAGAACTTATAAAAAATAATATTAATAAATAACTAACTTTTTAGCATATTACAAACTAACAATCGATTCAATTATCATGGGTGGGTTGATATTATGGACCCATTTTTAATGTTCTGGTTGATGATTGATCACCCGCCAAAAAATATGAATCGGAAAATGAATTAGTTGATGGGTAAAACCGATCCATGAATATCCCTACATTCAATAAAGAAATACAAATTTGATATGCCTAATTGGGCCAACCCAATGGGCCTACAATTTCTTTACCTACTGGGCTACGAGTCCAATATCGAAGACTAATATCACCGAGGCCCAAACACCTTCAAGTAAGGCTTGGGCCCAACAAAGCAAACCCAACCCAATAAACGACATATAAATAGAGGTTTTCCTCATTTTATTAAGGTACGTCCTATTAACTGAGCAATACAACAATACGTATTCTCTGGACCATTTCTATGATCAGCACGTCTGACTTGAGCGTCGGAGGGGTTTCCGCCGGATCAACCCCCGGCTTAGTTCATGTGTGCTCATTTTGCAGGGACCTCAGGATCATCAAGTTGTCAAGCTACTGATCTGCTTTGCTCTCCCAGCTCATTTTCTACACCACCCTAGGTGAGCTACATATTAGCATCATCAAAATTGTTAACCTAACTCAAATTAAAAAAAAATCAAAAAAGAAAATTATCATTCTAAATTTTAAAATTTTGAATTGGAAACGGGCAAAATGTAAAAAATGCATAATGTGGCAAATCATTCACATAAAGTTGCCTTATCCTATAGAAAACATGCATGCATTAAATTAACAGTGTGAATCATATTATTACAGGATAAGGGATTTCAAATATGCAAGATAAATAGCTCCCCCTATCATCATGATTGGAAGAAGGATGATATACATACTTAGAAGAAAAAAACTGAAAATGTTGCCCCCCCTATCACTGTGACTGGAATTAAAACATTGAAAAAAGTAAAATAAAATAAATAACTCATCTTTAAAAAAAAAAAAAAAAAAAAAGGTAAACGACTATAATGCCGTACGTGCGAAGCGATTTGTGAGTGTTTGCTAAGGTGGCACTTTTATTGAAGTTGCTTGAAGAAGAATTTGTACCGCTTCTAATCCATTTTGTAAGGTAAAATCCAACTGGTAAGTATGAGGCAAAAAGTTACCATTATAAGCATATAAGTTATAACTCAAGTTTTAAATAAATATACGCAATCAAATTTATGTACCTCTTGATGCTCGTCTCTGTCGATAGGGCGAAGAATGAAGCTTGCAGGATCCATTTTACCTGGAAAGAATGAAGCTTGCAGGATCCATTTTACCTGGAGGCCTTCCAATGCCTAACAAATAAACTCAATTGTTATCCGAATTAAAGAGTAAACTGCAAAATGTACCTCTGTGTAAATCTCTAAATAGCAAAAACCCCCATGTGATAAATAAACTAGCAAAAACCCCTTTGTGAAATTTAGTCAAAGGCAAAAACCCCCCTAGTTGACTTGTGTGTGGCTCACTCGCGGGTTGCGCGACTGGGAATTGGTTTTTGGACATGAAATGACGAAATTGACCCTTAAAATGTATTTATATGTATATATATTTATATTTATTTTCTTTTTAATTTGGTTGTTTAAAAATTAAAATATTGTTAAAAAATAGTAAATAATTAAATTGAAAAATTATGAAAAATTTGTTAACAAAATTAAGTATATATTTTTTTAAATACATAATAATGAAATTTAAGTTTTCTTTTGATGTAGAAATAATTTAAAATATATATCAAAATTATGTGATAATAAAAATAGAAATAAACTAAAGACCCTATTGTACCTTTATAATTAAGATATAACAAAAATAAAATAATTCAAATATTTAAAAAATATAAGAATTTATTAATTGCAAAATCCCGGGGGTTTTTGCTAGTTTATTTATCATAGAGGGATGTTCGCTATTTAGAGATTACACAGGGGTACTTTTTGCAGTTTACTCCCAAATTAAATCATCTATTCTCAATTGGTAAGATTTTGCAAAGGGTTATGTAATAATTAACTAGTATTCACCCGTGCGATGCACGGGGCGACATATTTCTAACTGAAAATACATGTCTCAAAAACAAATTTACGCATATATCAATTATCACGGTCACCGAATTTAAGTACATAACGTAATCGACCAACAATAATAAAAATATGTTATAAGTGTCATGTTCTTCATAGTTATGATATAAGAATACTATTAAATAGTAATATATCGTCAAAAACAAATCTTAAAGATAATAAGAATTGCACCGAGCACCCTAGGGAAATGACTGAAAATAACATCGCACCGGGGAAAATATATAGATAAGAAACACATGCAAAAGAATAAGTTCTTTAAAACTAAAATAAAAAACATGTTACATGAATAAATGATGAATATGAAAATATTTTCTACCTTCAAATTCGATGAAATACTTCCTTGTACACGACATTTCTAGTAACATTGGTGAGTTCACCCGAATCCGACTTGATGAATATCTTAATGCCACCTCTGCTCTTAACTCTGGACACTGCAACATATAGTTGACCATGGCTGAAGACAGGCCTAGGAAGATACAAACCAACATGCGAAAGAGTTTGGCCTTGGCTTTTATTGATCGTCATTGCAAAAGAAACAATCAACGGAAATTGTCTTCTCTGAAATTTAATTGGCAGTCCGGAGTTAGATGGTATTAAAGTCATCCGAGGAATGAACACCATGTCACCGATATTTTTTCCGGAAAGAATTTTGCAACTCAGAACGTGAATGCCAGTTCTAATAATTTGAAGTCTGGTACCGTTGCACAATCCTCTAGCTTGATCGATGTTTCTTATTAGCATAACGGGTGCACCAACCTTGATCCTCAACGCATGAGAAGGAACTCCGGAGCATCTTATTGTGTTGAGGAATTCAGTCGAATAAATTTCTGCATTATCCTCCGTTGTGTGCTCGTCCCTACACATACTATCTGAGCTCAGGTACACCTTCTCCTCTCCTGGAAGGAGATACATTAAGTGATCGTTCACAGACTCGACGCATTCATTAGTTGGTGCAAGAATTGCCCTCCCTTGAAAATAATCTCGATCGTACATGTTACTCAACAAATCCGGGTAAACGAATTTGAGTAAGTCTGTGAATGGATCTTCTGAATCACCAATCAACATGTCATCTGGAATCTCTATCGAAGCTTCACCATCATTGTCTTCCCCAACATCCCCATTACCAACATTCAGTATCCAGTCTCCAAATTCTTTTATCTCATCAACATTAGATGGAGAAGAGCATGACTGCAATCTCATGTTCTTAGTCAACTTCATGACACGACAGAAATTCCACAGCGGAGAGGAGTTTATCATAGCATGTACTATGTCCTGCCTTGATGCTTTGAGCACAACTGGTAAAATCTGCCTAAAATCACCTCCAAGAACAACCACCTTACCACCAAAGGGTTTGTCAGCCTGTAATATTGACTTAATTGTCTTGTCAAGGGCTTCAAAACAGTATCTATGCATCATAGGAGCCTCGTCCCATATAATAAGTTTTGCCCTTATGAGCAACTCTGCCTGTGGACTTTGTTGCGATATACTGCAGGTGGAACTCTCATGTACATTTATGGGTAGTCCGAATCGAGAATGAGCTGTTCTTCCACCGGGGAACAATAACGATGCTATACCACTCGATGCAACGTTAATTACAATCTCTCCCTTCGAACGAACTGCAGCCGAAAGAGTTTTCCATAGAAAAGTCTTTCCCGTTCCACCATGGCCATATAGAAAGAACATTCCACCACTGTCATTGGTTACTGCATCCATGACTACATCATAAACCTTTCTTTGCTCATCTGTAATGGAAGCAAGACACTGTTGAAGTTCTCTACCCATTTCAAACCGGTCGTAATCCAGTTCATCTAACACCAATATGTTTTTTGTGTCCTCATATGAGTATTCGATTGGAACTGGCATAGGCGCGTAATTTTGCAGGCTTTTACCATTGCTTTGCAATATTTTTTCTATTTCGGTGAGAGTATAGTTCTTCAAGCTTTCATCCGATATATGTAAATCTTCAACAATAAAAAAATGGATAAATTATGTGCATCTAGTTGAAATCGTACAGAGACAATATTAAAAGAATGATTAATACGTAAAATCTAATTGAATACAATGCCATACAAATTGCCATACCTGGATTTTTATGAAGACGTTGTTGTTTGTAAGCAATACCCTCAGCCAAATCCAACCAACAACTTTGCCAAACATGTTCGGGCCGACTTAAGCTATTGGAAAGCAGCATAACCGCAAATAACCTTCTTATATAATCCCCCGATGCCCAAGTATTCACTTCTTTTATTGCATCTATGTATTCTTTGTCGTCATCTAGCAAACCCAACACATAACATGCATCCCTGAACGTAGGGTAGAGGATGTCAAAAACTTTTCTGATGTCCTCGTAGCACGTGCATCCCCTTTGAATGTTAAGTAGCAACCTAAGGTAATAGTCTTCCCCCTTTCCAGGGGGAACATTCGCAATCCTACCGATAGAAAATCCTTTTTTCTTTGGTGCCCAAGTTCGAGAATCCTCTTTATACACAAATTGTTGTGGAAAATCTCCGTACCTCAAGTCCCTTGCATGTGGATAGTTCTTGTTGGCCTCAAACCACGCCAGGAACATAGTTTGCTTGACAGATGGCCTATCCAACACACTTTGTAACGACTGGTTTTCATTGAAGACAATTGGCTGATGATCGGGGAGATGAAAGCTTAGCCTAATTACGGACGGGTCTCTGTAATGAATATCAAAGTTAAACAACCTCCACATTGCCTCACACGCCGAAAGATATCTGCAGTCGTAGTACATCTTTATCTCATCACGAATCTCAGCACCGCCATCTGTATTGCGTGTCTCATAAAATGCCGCTGTGACTCGGTCATGCCCCTTGTTTACGTATTTGAACAGGTATTTAATTGACTTTTTTTGGTTGCATAGCTCGATATTAATGTGAGCTCGGTATTTACTCAACAATATACGATTGTAGGGGACCACAAACCCATTATCAAGAGTAGTCTTCTTCTTCGTAACTGTTCTGCCATCTTCCCTTCTCCTATACACTGTAAACCCATCTGCATCTGATTCAGTGCGCTGCACAAATGGCTTTGGAAATCGTTTCGTGCAAACTCTATCTTTCATACATGGAGATTTCAAATTCGCCTGCACGGTCCATGTATCATATACTTCTCCACCAACTGGTACATCTTTCTGTCGTTTTCTTCGTCAGGAATTTCAGCACATATGATCCTGTCAATTTCTTCTGGATTCTTTTGCTTGTCGTCATTATGCAACCACAATAAAATATGTGCATGCGGTAGACCTCGTTTCTGAAATTCAATTGTGCAGACATCTGCATAAAAAATGTAAACATACGGTATTAAAAAATATGAATTAATTTAGTTAATGAAGCAAAAAGTAGTTAAACTCGCACATGACTAAATTATCTAATTTATATAAACGTATTAAATGTTTAATTATAAATGGATATCTAATTAAATACTCACATGCTCTAATACGTCCGAATATACGGCCCTTCTTGATTTCCGTCATCATACTATCGAGCTTCATTTTGAACACACGACACAGAATGTCTGGCCGATCCTCCGGCCTGAGATTTGTATCTTTTAACACCCTTTGTATTTCTGGCCATTGGGGATTGCATGTGATGGTGATGAAGAGGGTTGGAAATCCAATCCAGTTACATATTTGAAGAGCATCAACGAAGTTGTTAAACATATACCTTGGACCTGCGGTGAACGACCCTGGAATTATAATGCGTTGTCCAACAGATTTACCCTCAGTGTCTCCTTTAAAAATCTTTTCTTCGATACCCTTGTACATGTCAACCCTAAGTTGATCCTGATTGAACCTTATGAAATTCAACCTCTGTGACTCAACCATCGAAAATCCATCAACACAGAACTGCTGAAATAACTTCTTGGAATGCAAAAGTAACGAATGTTCTCCATGCCGTTTCTGAATTAGGTATGCAAAGAATTCTCGCATGCTTACCTTCCTTCGTTTTCTATTATCAGCAAATGAAGATTCTCTCAAACTGATATCGTCTCGATAACCATCTTCACCGTAAGGAAATAAAAGAGGATACTGTAGAGGCAAGTAAAGAGGATGGAGCTCACTGATTCGTTGAAGCTTATTTGAGCGCGTCTCAACTACAATATCCCTAACACCCTCTTGTGTGTCAAAGTCACCAACGATCAAGCCTGCTATTTCACTTGCGTTAGGAAGATTGTACGTCCTGCCATCAGTACTGCGACTCTTTACCAATCTGAGTTTTACTCCTTGATGGCCATCATTGGAAAAACGATCTCGAACAGCACGGTAATGTTGTGCAAGTACATTGTTACCGTCAATCATATCTTTCAACGATGCAACGATGGCTGGGTCAAGACTGTTAGATTGATTTCCGGACCTGTGAAAAAAAAAATAATGTAATTATAATTTGTAAGCGCTATATTCCTTAGAACATGAATATAATTCCGAAAAATTTACCTGACGGCATCAATTCGATTCTGAATCTCATTTTCTGTGTCGAAAATGTAAAGTTGGGCAAACTTAGGCCTAGTGCCTTCTTCCGGCAATAAACTGCCCAGTAGATGGTAATTATGTCCGTGTAACAGAAATGTGTATGGACCAGATCCGTTATTAATAGATGTCTGCACTTTTCCACCAAGCGACGTGAAAGAAAACATCATATTATACGATCGTACGTTCTCTTGGAAATGTTTGCTCCTCCGATCAGTGCCAAACACTAAATTGTTAAGTGTAGGAGGTGCATCTCTTATTTTTTGGAGCTGGACTTTCCCGGACATACAACATAAGCCAAATTTGGGCCTGGATGTTTGTCTATGCTTGTCAATTCTTTCACCGTACCACATCATTGAACCACAAAAAGGACATTCATACGTCTGGTCTCCAAGATCTTCATAATCTATCCAAAATTAATTAAATAATATTATTCATTTAAAATAATTTAATGAATTTATATAATTGGTAATGTTAAGATTAAAAGTTGTTAGATTAAAATGATATTTACCAGTATCGTCAAGTGCATCGTCACTATTCTCATCGTTGGAAACATATTCAGAATCTACATTTATGAACAAAAAATTATCATTACAGTAGAAAAATATACTCACAAATAACGCATAGCAATGAGATACGTTATGAGATGATGACAAAGATAATTACCTCCGCTTTCGGAAGAATTGTCTCTTAACGTCTGTACATCCTCATCTACCAACATAGCGGGTACTGATGTCATATCCAACATACGTGTTACAGAGTCAATTGTTTTATGACTCATAGTCATCTTCTTTCCATTCGCACGGTACAACTAACATAATGTGAACATTCAGCTTCTATAGAAATGAAAGAAAAAACTGGATTATTGTCTACATGTATTGCACACTTAATCATTTAATAAGACATAAAATTAGTCCTAGAAAATAAGATCGCACCATTTATTTGATTCATAATAAGATTTTGTAACTTGTAAATGATCTTCACACGATGTAGATACACCATTGCAACAGTACTCAACGTCATCTGTTGTAATAACAACATAACTTCTTTATTATAAAATTCATTTATTTATAATTATTTAGCAATAATTGTACAAAGATAACGGTATTAACGTCTAACATAGCATCGACACCACAATTTAGGGGTGGGCATTCGGGGCGGGTTATTCGGGTATAACCCGACCCGGTCGGGTATTACCCGACCGGATCGGGTAATTTTTTACGTAACCGGGTTTTTCCCGGGTTCGGGTACCCGGTGCTCCCAAACCGGGTCGGGTCCGGGTATTAGAAATATATATATATATATATATATATATAGATGGTATGACAAAATGATAATACTTACTTCCAACAAATTTTGGAGACAAAACATTATTGTCCATGATGACTTCTCTAGTTGAAAATACTGACTGAATTGGAGTTTGTTTATCTGAGTCCAATGAATTTGAACAAATAACAGTTAATTTAAAGAAAATATATGACCATGTAATAAAAACACATACAGTTTGTTATGATCTATATATCCATAATTTTACAAAAATATTTCATTTATGGAATTATGAAGTAAATAACGATTATTGATAACTTACGTTGGTAAGTATTTGCAGGAGACCTAGTGTTATGAAGGTAATCCTGTGGCCATGGGCTTGCATCCCTTTTAATAATTGTTTCTATTGATAGATCTGAAACTATAGATAAAAAAATAAATCGATAATACACCTGAAAAAATATTTACATTTACAACACGAATATGTAGCTTACCAATAGGTACATCGTATAATATAGATTTTTCAGGTGAAGAAGGCGTCTTTCGTTTATTATCCATATGTAAATACTATGCACATAAACCTGCAAAACTTAAGCTGCACAGTTAGATGTGTGTATGCATGTTTCTATTAAATATAATTAAAAGTAATCAATATTTGTAGCATTCAAAAATATCTCTTCATATTGTGTCTTAGAATGGGAAAAAAGAAGAATATATTGTAATCATATACATAGAAAATTGAATGACTTTCATATAAAAAAAATGTTTCATATAAATTGTTAAATCATTTATAAGATGTATGTATATAAATACATAGATCTTATATGAATAAGATCTACTCAACTCGAAAATTTTTATATGTAAATAAATATAATAAAATTGTATAAATATTATAAATATAATAAAATTTTTATATGTAAATAAATGTTAAATATTAAGAAAAACATCAATGGAAAAATTTAATAATTTAATACCTATCGTATACTCATTGTTGTTTGGCGCTTGTTGTATATCTGCGTAAGGTGTGAACTTAAATGAATACACTGGAATGGACGGAACATCAACTTCTCTCACAGTAGATGTATATTCAAAAGTGACTCTATAGTCATTCAAGGCATGCTTGTAGGTCTTGACACTAAAAAAAGCAGATAGGTTTGACATTACATAACATCTGTTCATTTTGATCTTAGACTCAAATCTGTATAACAGTGTATACTTAATGGAAGCTTGCACCGTATCACCCTGCGTAATTAAAAAACAAATGTGAAAAATATATTATCCTAACAATCATATTTGACGTATTAAAATAAAATAATCACCTGTTCATCAATGAGTATCATCTCCATGTCTTGAAGATCTTTCTTAAAATAATTTGGTTGTTTCCAAATGTGCAAAACACGGATTTTGAGATTCCATGACTTTTTTTCACCTCCCAAGTTTCTAATGAGATCTACTTGCCTTGACATCTATATGTGTTTAATACACGTAATCAAAAATTTGTTAGTGAATTAAATCAAACATGTCTCAAAAAAAATAAAAAAAAAAATCAAACAATAAAAGATGAATATACGATAACAACTCTTGAATTATATATATTCCAAAATATGCATAAAGTATAATATATAATCTATCTGATAAAGTTACATTAATTCATATGCTCGGGTATCGTGAAAGAAAAAAATTAAAAAAAAAAAAGGTAAAAGATTATTCTAAAATAATATTATACTCACGATTCACAAAAAGAGAACGATGGTCGGCTGATGAAGTATCGAGAGAACAATATTATCCCGCACTTTAGAATATCACTGCCATGCACCGTGTATATATAATATGATGATATTTAATTATTCCTAAATCATAGTAAATGATATACAATCTATGGAAGTAAAATTAAATTCCTA